AGAAGGTGCTGCAGCAGAGAGGTATCATCCCTCTGAGGGCGCTGCAGAAGCAGTGTGCACACAGAGCCTCGGAGCATTTCGGAAGTGCGCAGGGCCTTTGGGAGTTAGAGCAGCTCTGCTTCCAGTCACAGGGCGGAGGCCAGCTTGGGCGAGCACTGAGGAAAGCTCCTGGTGCCAAAGCGCACAAGGTTTGCACAAGGGAGGCAGGGCAGGGCAGGTGCGGCATGCAGAGGGCGGATCGGTGCGTGCGCAAAGCTGACCTGACGCTGCCTCATGGGGGGCATCTGTGTGGGGGGATGAGTCGTTTAAACGAAAGAGCCTTTAAGCACTGTTAACAGGGGAACGTTTGAGGAAGGGAAGCCTGCTAGAAGTGATGTCGTGAGCATGCAACCTGTTTGTGTCAACCGGCAGAAAAGAATGAAGAAGGAAGTCCAAGGCACAAGCTTCCCTCTCTGTCCAGAGTCCGAATGGCTCTTTTTCTCGTTCTCACTTGGTTTCTGAGCCAGGTTAAAACCCATGTTCTGAGTCTGCAAATGCATCACTGCAGTGCCAAAACTCAATGATCGGATGGGAATGGACAAAACTCAGGCAGTGGAGAGGGCATTTTGTACTCCAGATCCCCATTTCTGGGGCTACTAGTCTACTCTGGGTTAACAAGAAGTCAGTTTCCACCAGCAAAATTGCCTGGTATTGCTAATGCACCCTAATCAGGTCCCAAATTCAGAAAAAGTATCTAGATTGGGGCCTGCACATGCAGAGGGTTTCTTTAGCTCCTGGAATGCTGGGATGTTGGATTTAAAGGGGGAAAGCCCGCTTGGTAAAGCTTCACCCCCACCCCCACCCCAGAGTGCAGGTAAACCCAATCTGTGCCACACACTTGCATGGGAGTACATAAAAATGGGAGGGTCATATACATCAGAAAGAAGGTCCCCCGATGTTCTGGACTTCAACTCCCAGCAGTCTTGACCATTGGGTAGGCTGCCCAAGTCTTCTGGAGTTGCAGTCCAGATTGTCTGGAGATTTGCCTCCTGTGCACCCTGAGCTATTCCCTATGCATTTCACGTTGCTTCTGGTCCACTTGTATGCCTGCGTGGACACGTAGGCTAAAACCTGAGTGTTCTTAACCGACTGAGCAAGTCTAGTGAGGCGGCAGAGGGCCAGATGGTCTTGGGGATGTGTCCTTAGTGGAGCCAGTGGACTAGCTAGGAAATGGCCGGATATCTTTTGTGGCTGGTTTGAATGCGAAAGGCTGTCAGAACTAGGAAAATCCGCCTTCTCTTGACCAAGCCTGCGATCCAGCACTGGGCATAAGATGAGATTTCTGCAGAGAAGATGGTGCCACCCAAGTGGGCTAAGGTGTGGAGAAAACCTTGGGGTACAAGTTCCCCACTGCTGATGTTGCTAAACCTTTGTGAACCAAGACCTCCAGAAGGCCACTTCTGTTGAGTACGTTGCACGGAGGCCCTTTGCTGGGATGCCCTTCAAGAGATGTTTCATGGTGCAAATCAAAATCCCATGACCAGAAAGGCCACAGTCTGTCAAACTGCTGCTAAATAGAATAAATCGTGCAGATTGTTGCTCAACTCTGATTTATTGGAGATGGTTTTGGCCCATGTCAGCTAAGAGTACCAGGCCCTGTTAGCTAAATACTGGAGCAGAGAGGACAAAAGGCCAGAACTCATGGAATACCGAAAGGGTAGCCCCTTGCCCTTTCCCCAAAGGCCAGTGTTTCACATGAACTTTACATATGATAATTTATAGGTATAGATGCAAGTTCAGAAATAATTACTTTGACTGAAATAGAAAGACAACACCTCTCCCCATGATGGGAAGGACCATGATCAGAGGCCCATGTGCTTACTGTCACACACTGTGAACTGGCAGCTGAACTCTTTTCTTAGGGTCCTGAACTTGACTTGGACTGGGCAGGCCTTCCATCTGTAAAGCAGGACCCGAGACCAAACAAGACAAGAAGTACAGATGGAGGAGTCCTTGAACCCAAACATCAAGTTTTATAAGAACATTTCCTTTCCTGGTCACCAAAGCTCTGGACCAACACCCTTCCGCCCTCTTCTCTCTGTGCTGCTTTGCATTTTCAGACCTTGGGGTGTGCCCAGGGATTGTGGGGGCTAAGAAATAATGGATCCACGCAATGTCTTTCCACACCCACCCAGTGAGCCTGGAGATACAGGAAGTATAGGACTGGCACCTCTCCTGGCACCTTTTCCTACCTGGAGGGAAAGCCCATGCCTTGAGCGATAGCATGCAAGATGTCCCAGGTTGCCTGTCATCACCACTCAAAAGGATTGCAAGACTGGCAGTTATCTCATCCTAACACCCTAGAGCAGGGCTGAGAACTCATGGCCCTTCAGCTGTTTTTGCCCACAGATCCTTCACATTTGGTTAGGGCTGATTGGATATACAGGCCTCAACTTCTAGAAGGCCACACAATGCTCACTCCTGTCCTACAGAGTCATTGCCTTGGTTCAGACAGCAAGGGTTGAGTATGGGTTATTGTTCAACCATGGACTGTTTTGCCCTGGTTTGTTAACCATGACAAACTATGAAGAGAACCCATGTTTGGTTGTTGGGTTGTGAACCGTGGGTTGCTCACCATGGTTTGTTATCTTGGCTGGGTTCAAACAATAGCCATGTTTCAAGAGCCCAGAGTTCAATGACAACCCCCACTCCACCCATATCCCATCTTTGGCTGCAGATTTTCATGTTGTCTGAACTCAGTCACCGTGCCAGTTGCAGTAGGTCATACCAGGAAGGACAGAACCGTTGTCTGAGTGTATACAGTGAGCTGTTGTGTAGAGATTCAAGCTACAAGGCTGACCGGCTGGTAAAATGTGATTTTGCACATGCACGCACACAAATGCACACAAACACGCACTGGTGAGTCTTGTCTGGAGTGTGGCCACTGAGGCTGGGTGACCTCTAGATGGAGCCTGTGGCACCGAGCGCTAGTGCCATGTCTCTTGTCCAAGGCCGGGTGGCCCCTTTGCCAAGGCTCTTCTTTCCCTATTTGACCAATCTGGGTGTGCCAGTTTCTCTCTCTGTGCCCCGCAAGTAGGGACAGGCACTTGCTGCCTTTGAACGCAAAAACAGATCAGGCTGGGAAGGTCCTGCTCCTTGGCATTTACTCTCGCTGGTCCTGTAACAGGCTGCTCTGGCGCTTTCGAAAAACACAGCGAAGTCCCTCTCCAGGCTCATTCCTCATAAGGAGACAGAATGGCCCTGCTCCGGCATTCAAGGGGGCTGTGTGGAGGCATGTGGGTAGGGCCCAGGCCTCTGCCCCAGCGCACCTGCAGGCACCAGACACCCCTGCCAGCTCTGAAAGGAGGTTCTAAGCACACTCGGCTTAGAAGGCTCCAGGTGAGCAGAAATGCTGCGCTGCCAAGGGTTCTAGGTGTGAGAAAGCTTCTAAGTGGAACACGTGTAGGAGCTCCCTTCAGACCTTTGCACTGAATGTGTGCAGGCTAGGGATCAAGGCAGTGGGGTCAACGCATGCAGGGCACTGTGGGTGGGGCTGTAGCTCATGATCCCATCTGTGTATGCATTTTTTGTCCTCCTGTGAGGACTAGAACCTTTGCTCAGTCGTTCTGGATTCTGATGTTTGCAGAAGATTCCATGTGTGAAACGGCTGGACTGCAGGAGCACACATTTGAGCTGGGGTGAAAATAGATCCTTTACAAGTTCAGAATGCAGAGATTCTGAAACGAGATGCGCAGCAACTGAAAAAGCTGGGAAGCAGTTGGATGCTTGATGGGTTGAAGATTTCCAGCCGAGAAAACTCAGCTTCCAGGGGATATTAAGCCTTTCTCCATTCCTCCAATTTTCCAGATGCCATCTGAGCTTCCCCCTCAGATGCCATCAAATGCACCTGGATCTTTGCTGTGGGGAAGAGCAAGTGGGGTGAAGAGTTACAGGAGGGAACTGACAAAGAGAAGGAAAAGTCTGCAGCTTCTCACCCGCTGCTTGCCCACCATTTACTGGTGCCCCAGGTCTGCCAAGGACGATGGGATTCTGTCCAGGAGGAGGAGCCAAAGAGACTGGGGAACAGAAGGCCAGTTCCTATTGAAGGAACAACGAGGGGGAGGAGAAGGCCACCGCTGATGTCCAGCCCCGGGGGCTATCTGCTGCCTGCAGCATCAGAGCAGATAGGCCCACATAGACCAGTTGCTGGGGAACATGGGTGGGAGGGTGCTACTCCATGCATGTCCTGCTTGGGGGATCCTGCGGGCAGGTGGCTGGCCGCCGGTGAACAGAGCGCTGGACTGGGAGGAGTCCTGGACTGTCCCAGCAGGGGTCTTCTTCTATCCATACGTACCGGACCCCCAAGGTTTGAACACTGCATTGGTAAGAATGCCGGCCAAGCAGGTCATGTCTGTGGTTCCTGCAAGTCCCCGGGAAGGATTCCACTCCAGAAGACAGAACAAATGGTGGAATGGCCTCGGGTAAGTCCCGTGCCCACCCGCCTGAGGAAAATGTGCATTGCGTGTGTGCACTACTAAGGATACAGAAGTAGGAAAACGCTCCCAGACCCGGGAGCTGCCTTGGCAGAAGTATCCAGGGGTGTCGTGGTGGGTTTTGGCAGGCGGGCACTCCCCATGGCAGCCATGTCCTCAAAGAAGGTCCAGATCCAAGCAGCTGGGTCGATCTGTATCAGCACACCCATTCCAGCAGTGCTCATCTCCACAGGAGTAGGGCTTGAGGAAGGCTGGGGGGTCTCAAGTGCCCCTGCAGGACCAGGCCACCCCCGGTGTAACACTGAGAGCTCGCAGCAATATGCCGTTGGTGGGAATGTCCATTCCCCCAGCTAGGGCAAGGATGGCATTGAGGGCGTGGAAAGGGGGCAGGACACGCGGGGCAGGGGGGCAGATGGTGCCGGTGTCCCTGGGAAACAAAAGGGCCGGCGCAGTGTCCCTGCAAGCCCCAGCGCCGTTGCACCACTGCCCCTCATCTTGCACCTGGCACGAGTCCCCGCTGCGACTTGTTCAAGAAGTGTGGGGAGGCCTGCTGGATCCCGCTGGGACCGTGAGGGACCTCGGGTCCAGCTCACACCTGTTCAGCTGCTCATGGTTGTCCTCATTCATCTGAGACACCTCCGTGGAGCCCACCTCAAAGCCGGGCACAGTGTGGGCGGCGTGGGCGGCGTGGACCCTGTTCTGGGCCTTCTTCTGCAGCAGGCAGCTGAAGACCTTCTTGAAGCCCTTGCGGAAGTGCTTGGAGACCAGAGCGTAGACGATCGGGTTGAGGCAGGAGTTGGCATAGGCCATGCAGTGGGACAGCAGCCGGAAGGCGTAGGTGGTTTGGTTGAAAGGGAAGTCTCCGTAGAGGTAGCGCAGCACGACCACATGGTAGGGCAGCCAGCACAGGCAGAAGAGGGCGGTCACGATGATGATCATCTTGGTCACCTTGCGCTTGGCCTTCTTGGACTCCGACAAGTCCTCCAGGGGGTCCACGGCAGTCCACAGGTATTTGATTGTCCGGGTGTAGGAAAGGCTGACAACGAGCACGGGGATCATGTACCCGAAGGCGAAGGTGCTGGTGTCCATGACCTTGCGCTTCCATTCCTCCCAGCCCGGCACGCAGATGTAGCTGGCCTCCCATTCGATCAGGTCGTAGTAGCTCAGGTAGGGACCCGAGAAGACCACAGAGAGGCTCCAGATCACAGCCATGGCCACCACTGCGTTGCAGGGCGTCCGTAGTTCCCGGGAACGCAGCGGGTAGCGGATGGCCAGATACCTGTCCAAAAAGTTAACAGGGTTAGAAATTGCTGCACAGGTTCTTGGGGGGAAATTTAGCTTCTCCGAAAGCTCAGTTGGTCTTTTCAAGACTCCCTGTGGTTTGCCACCAAGTCGCCAATTCTGCCCAGCCTCACCCATGGCTGCCTGTTACCCATTCCTGGTCTAAAGAGCAGCCGTCTTTCAGATGGCACTCCTGGGGTGCCATCCCATGCATGGTTGGGCAGAATAATATCCTACAGCCCCAGCATGGCTGCCTGGGGCACGCTGGGCTACCTGGAACTGTTCCTGCCTGAAGGTGGGTAGGACGGCACCGAGAGCGAGGACCAAGGATCCTTGTAGCCTCGCTGGGGTGCGTCACGGGGCAGGCTGCCTGCCGTGCAGAGCTGCCCCACGCAACCCAGGCATGGGTACATGGGAGCCATTCAGGGGGGTGAAAGGGCACATGTAAGATCCAGGACCTTCTTGGTGTTGGTGGCACCAGTTTCTGGAAAAAAAAGATTCCTTTCCAATATTTCTAAAATAATTCTTTGAAGAGTTGTTTTTCTCTGTGTCTCTTTTATATTATGACCTGCACTGCCTCTCTTATCTTGCTGCCTTTTGTAGTTAAATTACTGTGATTGATTGATTGATTGATTGATTGATAGATAGATAGATAGATAGATAGATAGATAGATAGAACAAACGAACGAACGAACAAACGAACGAACGAACGAACGAACGAACGAACGAACGAACAGGTAATGCGGGTGCTGGCAACTTCTATATCCTATTTTGTCTCTTTTTGTATGAGCTGCTATAGGTGTTACTTGAACAGGAAAATGTTCTGCCTTGGGCCCCATGCGGTTTGCCCACACAGGGTTACCGCCTAAATTAGTCCAAGCTCTTGTCCTTCCCAGGAGTGTGAGATGAAAATGAATCTGAATCTCGGCTGCTGAGCGAGACCGTCTGCTTGATGGCCTGCGCCCTCCGAAAGAAATCGTGTTTTTTCTGACAGCCTTGGGAAGGCAGTAGGTAGATATGTCAGCTAAGAAACCACCCCTGTGTCATTGCGGGGAAAGGAACTGCCAGGCAGGTGCGGGAAGAGCTGTCAGTTTGGGGAGTCATGAGTGGAAGGCAAGATGCTTCCTGCAGGTGGGCAAAGAGGGCGGGGGGGGGATCATAACACTGCACAGCAAAACCCCGCATGGACGCTGCCCGATGCGCTACAGCTCTCATTTCCTACAATAGATCACTGAATCATAAGCATGTGAAGTGCAATAAAAGTACTCAAATGCCTAAACACAAGCAGGCAGTAGAATGTATGAAGGCTGTCACAGGCACCCTTGGCTGGGAGCAAGTCCTGTTGCTTCTGAGTAGACCCATACAGGATAACTCCGTAAGGCTGCATTCTTGTATGCATTTACCTGGGAGAGAATTCCACTGAACTCAGCAGAGCTTTCTTCTGGGTAGGCATGCATAGGGTCACACTGTAAATTTAACAGAATGAGCTGGAATGTGCTTGCTTGCTTTTAATGAGCCAATATACTGAATGAGCCATCTCAGGAAATACCTGTGGCAGGGCCATGCAAAACAGGAACGGGTTTTTGTGATCTTCAGGAATTCTGGCTTGGGGACAGCAGCTCTTGGCTGGCCTCTGTCCTTCACAACATCCTCTGTGGGGTCATTATTTTCACTGCACAGGGCTGCCCTGGCGCCTCCTGTTTGCCAGCCTGGTGCTCTGATCGCTCTCCAAAGGGAAAGCTGGCAAGCAGCCCTTGGTTTCTCTCTCCACAGGCAAAACAGGGCTGGAACAAGAGTCCCAGAGGGCTGCTGGCACCGTGCCCAGGCCTGGGGAGACAGACCGATGGGAGGCTTGCCATTGCAAAAGCAGCCCGTCTCGGATGTCGCTCATACACTGCCCGCAACAGGGAACACATTGCTGAAATACGACCAGAAATTCATGGAAAAGTTATGAGTGCTGATTCAAAGGCACAGACGTACATGCTGAAAATAATGCTATCCTTCAACTAGGAGGACACTACATCTCCCCACAGTGAGGAAGTGTCTGACCAGGCTGCAGTTCAGACCTTTGCTGCAAAGGGGCCATCTCACCCCCCCTCCTTTTTTTCTTAGGAATCTTCGTTTTAAACCACAATTGGACTGGACAGCCATTGGAATATAGGATTGTTCTGTGATTGCTTTTAAGATAGAGGATTGCCCTCAAAAATAAGATCCATGGCTACCTCACCTCCATCTCATATGCTCCAACAATTCCTATTTACCAGTGACTTTTCTGATTTTGGAACCCAGTCCTAATTATCCTTTATCCCCAGTTTTTGGCCTCTGCAGATGGCTTATCAAAATGTCATGGCTGTGGAGTGTACAGCAGTTGTCCCTGATGGCTCAGCTCCCTTCTCAGTCTATAGGAGCTGCCCCCGAGTAGGAAACTCTGCTTTGGCAGCAGCAAACCTCCTGCAGCAGAGCAACCTGCAGATTCACATCTGAGCCACCAACAATCCCTTGTCGGACCATTATGGGTTTCCCCCTGGTCTCCTTAATAAAAAAGAATAAAGCCCCTTCTTGCTCTGAGAAAGGGTTTCTAAATATTTATTTCAGATCCTGCCACAGAGTGCTTATGATTTACCTGGTACCCCTTTCTTCTGCTTTCTCCTGTTTTCAAACGAGCTCATGCACAGCTTCTGTATGGATCCCCCGCACACGTACGCAACCGCACATCTGGAAGCAGGGGGCTGCCTTTGGGGTTTGGCTGGAGAGCACCCAGGGAATGAGATTTCCTGCAATAATGCGCTTGCCTTGCTCATTGCCCTTTCAGCACCTGGAGAGGGCCAAGCCAGGGGATTCTTTGGGTCAGCGCTGGGCCCCCTCCGAGAAGGCAGAGCTCGGCAGGTGCCGAAAGAGGTGGGCCTCCAGCGACACTCCTGCTGGCGCCCTTCATTCCAAGGGGACCTAAGCAGAATTTCAGCGGGAGGCCGCCTGACACAATATTAGTCATACTGACGGACTCCAAATTTTAGAACGTTTTAAACCTGAAATTCTGTGTGTGTGAAAGGGGTGTTCTGGCATGGGGCACACCTCTTTCTTCTCTACTGCGCAGCTCCCTGCTGCACCACACAGCACCGGAGAGCGAGGCGGCGTTGCAGGCAGCGCACATGGGCGATTACCTGTCCACGGAGACGGCAGCCAGCGTGAAGCTGCTGGCATACATGGTGAGGTAGATGAAGAAGTGCACCACTTTGCACATGAGCGAGCCGAAGACCCAGCCCTCCAGGGAGTAGATGGTGGCCTGGAACGGCACACAGAAGATGATGAAGAAGAAGTCGGCCAGGCTGAGGTTGAGGATGAACAGGTTGGTGCTGCTATGCCCCATCTGGCCGTTCCGCAGCAGCACGGCCAGCACCAGGCTGTTGCCAACGGTGCCCAGAAGGAAGATGAGGGAGAAGACGACGGGGACGATGATGCTGGCTGGGCTGAACAGGGAGGTGTCCGAGGCGTTCCAGTGCCCAGCCAAGCCGGCAAAGTCTTCGTGTTCGGTCATGTTCTCACCTGTGGGCCAACGGAGGAAGCGAGAAAGAGGGATGGTGAGGATCTTCTAGCCCAGGTGGTATAGGGACTAACCCAGGCAGTGCACCAGAGAAACCGGACTAGAAACCAAGAATAAAAGTAAAAGAGGAGGCTGGGCTGGAATCCATCCATGCTTCTAGGAAGCATCCAGCCCCAGGTCAAGTGGGGCATGGAGGGCTGCTGCTTTTGGCCCCGTGGCCCTTGAAAACTAGTATGTGGTGGCTCTGAGCAATGGAATTTCCAGGCCCTGCAGCAAAACATAATCATCAGCTATTCTGCTTCTGTTCAGGAAGGATGCCAGTCAACCACTATGACCTCATCCAGGAGACACCATTCCATAGACACTTCCTTCCCCAAACGGGTGCCCTCCAGAGCATTTTGGCCACATAAGAAGGGCCCTGCTGGGTCAGAACAAAGGTCCATCAATCTGTTCACACTGCGACCAACCAGGTGGCCATGGGAAGACCAGAAAGGGCGAGAACACAGAAACTTCATCCCACATGTACTCCCAGTGTTGAACCGAAATAGACCAAAGTGCTGCCAAGATTCCCACGGAAAGCCTAAAACTGACAAGATTGGCATTCTGGTTTTGTTAGGGAACCAAAAGTATTTATTACCAGTTCAGCTAATCTTGACTGATACCTTGCTAAGAAAGGCAGGAGTGTAGCAAGACCAGTTTCCAGACTGTCCAGTGTAGCAAGACCAGTTTCCAGACTGTCCAGTGGTGTCCTTATTCTTGATACATTTTTCTTATGCAGATTCTTGTGTACTTGGAATTATTTTCCCTTTGTTTCTTTATGTTTAATAAGAGCTTTGAGTGTACATGGTCCCTGCCACTGTCTACATAACTGAAACCGTATTGAAATATCCTGCGCAGTGAAATGCTTTATAACTTCCTGCTTTCTATCTGCATGCAGAAATCCTGCATGTTCAAATAAAATCCAGTTGCTTTGAACTGAACACCCCCAGTGTGTCTCCTTCTTCTGGGTCTTGACCCCAGCAACTGGGATAAAGAGGTGCCTCTCTCCATTACTTGCGTCATCAGGACTAGTAACCATGGATCAGCCTGAAGTCCAACGTAACGAGTTTAACAACTGCTTTTCTATCATGGCAGCTCACAAACTGCTTTTGAAACACTCCCTTGGGCTTCTGGAGCTTAATACACCATTCTTTGGACCTTGGCCAAAGGGTTCATAATGAGTCCTGGGCTTTAAAAACTGGAGAGTTATAAATTTGGCCTCTCAAAGAAGTATCTCAAGGATTGCAGATTTCAAACCGAACCATCCCTCAGCTTCAGTTGAAGCGTCCTCTTGGGCTTTTCTTGGAGGCACTGATTTTAATCTGAATTTCAGTCTGAATAGCTGGCTGCAGGAAGCAAATATTCTGTGTTGAATTTATCTATGGGAAAAACAACTCACTTTTTTGCTTCAGATACCAGTGTCTCCTGCTCTTCTCGAATGCTCCAGCAAGATGATGGATTACAGCTGGGCAAAGCTGACCCCACTCCAGCAATAAAAATCAAGGGGTAAATCAACAAACTTGCCAAGAAAATCTGGTTTATTACTCTAGAGAAATATATGGCTGAGATCTTTGCTGCCAGCCCCCACCTCCACCCCCACCACTTTCCGATTCTGTTCTGCTAAATTAAAGCCGTGTTACTTGTACAGAGGAGGGGAGGGTCATAACCGTCCATCTCCCACGACACGCAGTTCTGAGCCAGCGGCGTTGAGAGAATATCAATCCAGCACAGCCGTTATGGTGTCGAAGGGCCAGGAGCCTGAGCAGCTGATCCGCCTCCATCCACAAAGATCCCCATGTGACCCCGGGGCAACCCGCACAATCTCTGTGCACGCTGCTTCTCAAGGGCTTGTGGGGACAACCCGGGGGGCATGAAATACGCATGTTCTGCCTCCACAATGCTTCTCAGGCTGAAGGCTGGAAGATGTGAAGGCAGAGACCCTCGTAAGAGACCCCCACCCTCCTTTCCAGCTTTGGAGAAGACAGCCACAGGAACGATAAAAGGGGGGGTCTTTAGGAACAGGGGCGATGGGGACAAGTGTCATACCAGGGCCATCTGGCGCCTGCCCCACACGCCTCCCAGCAGTGGTTGATTCTGCCTATTCTCAGAACACCTGGAGGGGGTGGCCTTGAGATAAGCCCCCATTGCTTTTTCTCCCGTCTCGATATCTGGGGGCCTAGATTCCCAGGGCCCGTCCTCCCCACACAAAGAGTCCAAATTTTGCTGACCTTGAAACTCATGCCAGCCGCATCTGTCCCTGTCATTCGCACATCACCCTACTTTCCCTGTTGAAACAGAGGCTTCCAAAACAGCGAGCGGCCGAAGCAGCATAAAGAGCGCAACACGAGATGGAAACACACCGAAGAAAAGTTAGAGCAGCCGTAACTGCCCCCCACCCCAGCCCCATCGATTAATGAAATGCCAGCCAGATTAATGCAAAAGCAGCACACCCATCTGTGCCATCACAGGGAGCAGAGGAAAACGGCCGACCACCGGGACTCGGTTTGGCCCCCGTGGAGCGAGCAAGCAAGCAGCAGGGCGGGAAGGTGCTGTCCAGAGCCAGTCCTCCGCTCCCCCACCCCATATCTGCGCCAATAGCAAGCAGCTCCCCAGGGCAGAGGCAGTACTGGGAGGCAGCCCATGAGGACTGGAGCCCCGAATCTTTCATTTGGCACCCCTAAACTCCAGGGGCCCGAGTGCTAAGCCGTGCTGCCGTTCATGGGTGTCTGCTGGATTCGTTATGCAGCAAGAGTTTCTGCTGGCATTTCTTTTTAATAAAGGGAATTTGTCCTGTCTTGTAACTTCTCAATCATGCTCAGAAATGTCTGGTAGTCCCCCTGAACGTCTCAGTGCCGTTTGTGAACATTTCTCGAGTCACGGGCACAAACATTAACCTGAGATATCTGTACTCTTGCTATCTTTTAATACTTTGTGCAAGCCATTTGTTCTGCTCTGATAAGATGACATTCCTCCCTCCCACAAAAGTATCTGTAGCCTGGATAAACAAGGCTGTAAAACAATTCTCTATCAATAGAATAAATTCATAAAATAACATTATTTTTAAAACCAATTTAAAAATAGGCCCAGTAACAAAAGCGACACACAAATAAGTAATATTTTGATTCAAACCCAAGGAAACAAATGACCTTTTTGAAAAACTCTCCTTCAAGCAACAGATGGAGACAACCAGAGGGAATTCCAAAGGGCAGAACCACCACCAAGAAAGCCCTGTATTTCATGCACCCTCAACCTTGCAGTTCTTAATAGCAGGCTACTGAATGCGCCTACGACAATTAACGGATGGGCAAGTTCATAAAGGTGGAGGCGGGCTGTCATACAACCTGCACCCAAACAGTTTAAGCAGTGAGAACTAGCCCTTGGGCCTGGGGCTATAGCCATTCCCTGCAGGGCAACAGAATTTCCTCAAGCCAGGGTTCAGTGCGGTGCTGCTTGGTTTTTTGCTCAACTAGCCAGGGTACATCAGAGAGGGAGGGAGAGAGGCCAGAGAAGCCTCAGGACAGCTCATATCCCGGCCTGTCCGGTTTCCTCTCCTTCCTACCCACCAGAGCACCCCTATTTTCCCCTTTCTGTTCTTGGGGAAACAGCCAACATGGTTCTGGGCTGCAAGGGGCCAACAGGGGCAGAGCGCCAACTTCCAGCTTTAAGGCTGGAACGCTGCCTCTGGCCTCAGAGTTGGGAATCCAAAATACCCTTGGGCCCTTCAAATGGTGTCCAGGGGGCCACAGGATCATTCTCTCTGGCTTGAATGTTCCAACTGGGAGCTTGAATGGGGAAACGGATCAGCAACCAGTGCAGCTGGCACAGAGACGGTACGATCCAGCCCACATAAGGACTCCAGTGGCCCCATTCTGTATCTGCTGAAATTCCGGAGTTGCTTTCAAGGGCTGCCCCGCATGCAGCACGTTACAGCAGCCCAGTCCAAATGTTACCAGTCTCCGCATAACTAGGGCTGTTGTGGACAAACGGAGTGAAGCGCCATTCTTCTCGCTTCCTGGGAAACACAGCCTGGGGCGGCCAAGCTGAGGCTCCGGAGCTGCCCGTGGCTCTTGTTCTGCGGCTCACCACTCACGGCCCGCCCGCGGCTTGCCACCTGCTGCTGCGGCCCACGGGCGCCCGCTTGCAGCTCTCAAGCGCCGGGCATTCATCGTATGCGGCTCTGCGGCTGAGCAAGTCTGGCCACCCCTGGTGTGGACGTGTAGAGCGTGGTACCAAACACAAAAGCATGACTCCTCCTCCGGAAACGACGACATGGAGTGTGCTGTTGTTAAACATTTCAAGGGGTAAGCATGCTAGAGTCATGGGGAAAACCTTGCACTAAGTAATATAGTAGGGTATAGGGACAGACGAATGGGAGCGCTTCCCTTGCTTTTGTTCGTACCAGTGCTGCTTTGGCCATATGGCATCTGAGTGTAGTCCTCAGGGACCACCTGCTGAGACCCCCCCCCCCCGCCGCCTGTCTGAGGACAGCGCTTTGGCAATTACAGTTTGGCTGACAGCTGCCATTTTGTTTTCCCACAAGATACCCGTCCAGGGCATTCTGGGAAGACAAGATGGTGGCGACAAAGAGCCTGCCTCTCAGGAGTGCCACTAACGCTTGCAGAAGAGTCCTGCGCATGGTGTTCCTTTCCCCACAGGCGTGCACTCTGTGGAGTGAGGTCACTTTGTCTGGGGTGCCACTCAAACCTGCAGCCACGGAACTGCAGATGGGAGTCTTTAGGAAGCACCGTCGGGGCCTGGATGCCTCCACCCACCCAGGCTGCCCACTGGCGATTCCGGGGCAGGACATGGTCGCTTGCCTGCAGCCGCCACTGTTCCTCCAGGATGTCCTTTGGTGCCACCTTACTCGCTGCAGATAGGCTCCAAGGATGGCACAGTAAGCTGTCGGCCAGCGCGCCTTCTCTGTGCTGCTAAGGCTTCTCCGGGGGCCCTGTGAC